ATATATAAAATATAAAAGTAAATTGGTGTTTATTTCATTTACCAATATTAATTTCAGCTCAAGTAATATGAATAAGTTGTAATTGTGCAAATAAGTTTCAGATGTAATAATTCCGTCCCGTAGTTTAAAGCGATATTTAAGTCGTAACTGCAGAAAGCTTTTTTTTTATCTTAAGTTGTAGCTGTATAAGTTTGTTTATCGTTATCATTATCTTTATGTATAATATATCGATATGGCCATATTTAACATCACTATAATTAAGTTAACGTTAACATTAATATACTGTATACGTATGTCAAATAACTAACTTAATATTCATTTAATCATCTTTAAGTTAAGATGGACTAAAACCCAAGACTCTAGTTGTTATGCCACTTTAAAAATAATATTTTAAACCTTTTGAACAATAACTTGTCTGAAAAACTTCACACTTTTTTTTGAACTTACAACTTCATTATGTGAAGAATAAAATTTTTTCGTTTAATTCTATAAGAAAATGTGTTTGTAGATCATTTAAATTACTATCGCTATTGAAGTTGGAGAACGCTAAAAATCTGAATTAGGTATTGATTAACAACATGCGCAGAAAAAGTGAAAAAGATGGTTTTTAAAATGTCGCAGTTATAATGGTAGCAATTAGATGAATAAAAAGTAAAAAACTTAATTCCTATTAATACTAAGAGAGATAGGTTAATTTGTAACAATAAAGTGTTGTACATGTAATAAGAGCGAAAATTTGATTTTTTTTACCATTTTACTAAGAAACACATTAAGTGTAACTACACATTATGCATTTTGTTAATCCTTAATTGAATACACTAGAAGCGACATGTCCTATGACCGATATGGCAATTTCTTTGATGCTCTTTTCAGGCGAAAATCTAACCGTATCGGTATATATAGAAAAATTTGTACATGTGATTATCGTTCTAATAGCATTAAATGAACATTTTTGTAAACTGCGCCCGAACATTTCTCGGCTTGCTTCTTTTTCCGTAATACCAGCCCAGTGAATACGTAGTTTTTGCTTTAATATATACCAAATTTTTTATAAACACAAATAATGGTACAAAAAAGAAAAACGTGTACTTATGAATAAGTTCATTTTAATCTGTACCATGTGTTTAAAAAAATTATCCCGTTTGGTACAGGTTAAAGTAGAGATTGAAATCGATTCTCAAAACTAGAAATGGAAGTAGAAAATTATTAGCGATGCAGTTTCCGTATTCGAAAAGAATACGTTGCATAGAAATTATTCCGCATTATTCAAACTAGTTAACAAATATATGCCTAAAGAATCGCATCATTTAATCAATTAATGTGAATCAAGACGTTTCACTAGATTCTTCGCGTCGAAAAATAATTTACAGATGTCGCGGGAATTTGTAAATACTTGGTTGTTATTTTTAATATAAAATCGAATTTATTAACAAATCTGTTTCTTTCTGGAAAACCTTCCTAGTTTCTATTAGAATCAATTTCAATCCCTACACTGATGCAGCACATAAGGCAGATCTTTTATTCAGGGTTTATTTGAGCTTCGCTAACCGAAATACGTATATGTGTTAAAAAGGCTCTATAGCTATTTTTTGCTGAAACATGTGTGCATCATAAGTTTATAATGAAAAGGTTCGGCAAAACTGCCATAAAGATAAGGAATCTATAGTATTTAATCCAGTAGGGTTGTTAGTTGGTTTGAAGCAAACCGCTTAACTGTAGTTTGAACTCAAACTGCTACAAAATGGTTTAACTCAGTTGTTATTAAAATGTAGTTATCTCTTTCAATTAATAAATACAAACTTAACAATGGTCATTTTTTTTATATAGAATGATGATATTCGAGATTAATTAGTATATAAAATACATGTACATAAGTGATAAAAATCACATCACGTTTAGAGATGTTAATCGGTCTTTTGGGATCGAAATCCATCCAATCCTTTCAAGGACAGTTCCAAATTCGATCCTTAAATCATGTGATTTTATCATATGACTGCGATTCCAGAATCGAGTCCTTTTATAAGTTTTAGGATTTGCCATTGTCTATTAGTAACTTACGAAACAAACAAACAATCACAAATGCAATATGTTTTAAATAAGTTAAACAATATCTTAAATAGGGTAAACTCTCATCACGACTAATTATATAAATAATAAAGACAATATGTCTTGAGCAAAAATTAAACTCTCACCTGTTCTCATGGAAACTGAAGAATCTGAATCCACAAATGAAGAAATCTCATCTATGGATAATATCACAGGTCAAAAACGAAAAAATTCTTCATCCTTGAATAATACAACACGAACAAAAAGGCGGGCACCTGTTCGTAATTATCTTGAATCAACACCTACTGGAGGTAATAAATGTAAAATATGCAAACAGATATTTAGCAAGTTGACAGCAATAATAACCATAGATAGACATTTTCAAAAGTTACACCCATTATATTTTGTTAAAATAAAGCAACATAAACTTAGAGAACTTAACCCTTATAATTCAAATGATAAGTTGAGAGTGGACAGTTTAAACGAAAACTTATTAAAATGGATAATAGTTGATCAACAATCATTTTTGCTAGTTAAAAATGCACAATTTTTGAATTTTATACAAGAACTCGATCCACGTTATAAACTCCCATGTCGTCAAACTCTCTCAACATGGATTAATCAAAAATACATTATGCAGCAAGATAAAATTAAAATATTCTTGACTACAATTCCTTTGAAGATATTGATTACAATGGATGAATGGATATCATGCACTCAACAATCATATCTTAGTATTACGATGCACTGGATATATGCTACTTGGGAGATGCATCGAATCTTACTTGATATTATACCATTTAATGATAGTTATACTGCGATAAACCAAAGTAATATAATTATTAGACTTTTAAAAGAAATGGGCATCAGTGAAAAACTTTTAGGTATTACAGCAGATAATGCATCTAATATGATTGCGATGGGATGTGTTCTAAAAGAAAAGGCACTTGAAGAATTTAAAAATGCAGATATACAACATTTTCATTGTACTGCACATGTTCTTAATCTTGGTGTTGAAGCAGAAGTAAAACTAGTTAGCAGAGAAGTCCGCAAGGCATGAGAATTCTCTATAAAAACTTTAAAACTCATCTTCATTACTTCGAGAACTAAAAAAGATTTTTGAAATGAAAAATATTTCATTTTTAATGTCTGATGTTGATGCAGAAACATGATGAAATAGCATGTATATTATGCTAGAGAAACTTCAACGAATTCGTTCAATGACTGATATTCTTGTTACAGGGAATCAAGCATTAAAACTGAATTATCCTACTGAGGAAGAGTGAAAAAGTATTTTGGTTAGTAATTAAATTTAAAAATATAATACATTTATTTATAATATATATACTAACTAAATTTAAAATTACAGGATCTAATGATAATTCTCGAGCCTATATATTATGCAACTGAAATGCTATCCTCTTCAATGTTTCCTACTCAAGGTGATTTACATGTAGTATTTTGTAATCTTATTAAGCATTTAGATGAATATACAGACCTGGGACTTAATACGTAATTCACAGTAGCTAACACAATAAAGATCAAACTCGAGTTGTATTGGACTTACCTTAATATTCATCAATGATCTCTGGTCTTCTTGATCCACGCAACAAGTTCATAATCTATGAATTTAATGAATGTGAACAAGCTATTAATACACTTTACCAGATATATGAAAAATACAAACTAATCAAAGAAAGTGAATTATTACCTGCACCGATTATTGCTAAAACATCTCGTGAGTTTTTCGCAATCTTATAATAAGTCGCACAAGCCACTTGGATTTAAATAAAGTTAGCACATATTTGTCTGAGCCTGAAACTAAAGCAGAATCACTCTTGTGGTGGAGAGCAAATGTTATACAATATTCAACACTAGCCCGAGTTGCAATGGACTATCTCGCAGTACAGGCAACTAGTGTACCTAGTGAGCAAGCCTTTTCCATTGCGAAACATACAGTCAGTCTTACCCATAATCGTATTGATCCAGAAACAGCACGCGCATCATTATGTTTGAAGAGCTGGTATACGGAATTGGGTGATATAATAAATGTTGAAGAGCAAGAATCTGAATGTAATATTGATAACATTGATAATATTTTTGGAGAAAGCTAAAAAATAGAATTAGTTAGAGAATTTAGAAACAAGTTATAGAATTTAGAATATAATAATATCAAAGAATTTATTTATCCTAATAAAGAAATAGAATAAATATTTATCTTTAACCTTTTATTAGTTTCACGATTCATTGTTATTTATATTATATATTATATGAAAAAAATCGTAGTGACATATAATATATAACATATATGATTGGGTGGACTTATTTGAAGGATTGCTATTCAAGGATTCGATCAGATAACTTTTTAGGAGATAAGTCCAGGACGGTCCTTTTCGGTCCTGGAACCGGACCGGACTGGACATGTCATTTAACATCTCTAATCACGTTTGAACTGTACATCCAACAATCGTATAATCTTGCATTTCTTCAATAATTCGCTTTCAAAATATAATAAAATATTGCATACATAATTTTTTATTTGGTAAATTTTCTACGTATATAATATTGATTCTGTCACAAGAAATGTCTGCTTTCTTGCAATATAAATGTGATACAGTTTTCAATAGTAGATTTCAACAAAAAATTTCACTCACATCTGCAACGAGTTACATTTGCGAAAAGTTAAAAAAAGGATTCTTAATAAACATCGGGTAAACAACATGAATTTTGTTTGCATTGAAATTTACCTATAACAAAATATATTCGGCCGTATTTATCTTTGATTTATAATATATGATAAATCACATAAAATATTAGAAGTAAATTTGTTCTCATGGTTTACTGCGAACCAAATAAAAGAATAGAATATTGGTCTCTCAATCTTCAGACTTAACTTGGTATTGGAACAGCTTAAAAAATAAATCAAAACGCCAAGAAGAATTCAAGAATGTATTAACCATAATGATAGACCAACTAAAAAGACTTTGATTTGCTCAGAATATACATTACACGTATATCCACAGTACATATATGTGTAGCTATATGTTTTATTGTTGTAGTGTTTCATCATGGATTTGTAGGTTTTCTTGAATAAAACTCGGTGTATCTTCATTCTCTTTAATTTCATATGGTATATTAAACTCGAAATCTGTTTACAAAATCAAAGGAAAAATTAGCGATGCATAAATGAGATTAAAAAGAAAGCGATAGTGATTTAGAACATGCAACTGATACTTGTAGAGCCTAAATACTCGAAAGAAATTTCAATTCAGATGGAATTTTTTAATATGATTTACATTTATTTTTAAATATACCTGTATTGTCTAGAATGGAATTAATTGCGTGGTAAAGATTCAACTTGGTATAAATTGCATGAGTGGATTTTTTTTTTTTGTCTACATCTGTAGGAATGTTATTCGAACTTTTATCTCTTTATCAAGTTCTTTCCGTTCCTGCTTTTCTAATTTAAGACGTCCAATCGCTTTAATGCAGGTTGGCAAAACAATCATCGTTATTATTTATCATTGTATTTTTCATCAAAATATTAATCATTTAAAATAAACAAATTTTATTTTATTTATAAGATAATTTCCAGTTCTTGCAAAAATGACTTCATGTTATTTGAGTATACAGGTTCAAATGTGCTTATAAATAGGCATTTTCGATGACTGCCGATATAATTACATGTACTAAAATTTGAAGCCAGATTCAGCACTTGCTGTGATGCGATTGAAAAGTTGGATTCAATAAGTTGTTGATAAGATGATAGTTTATAAACAATCAGAATCATAAACGTAAAAAGAAAGAATAATCTTAGAGTGAGCAAATAGATTAATTAACGAGTATTGATGGATAGTTTTTTTTAATTCATCTATATCAATTTTATTTAGATTATGGAAAGCGATTTTTGCATAAAGTTAGAGCCCAATAATTTGATTTTTTAATATAAAGTTAATTATGAATAATCATGGATATTTCGCTATACGTATCCATTTAAATTAATTTTTCGTGTTAGTTTTGCTCCGAAGCTAACTATGGTATAAACCTAGAGCACATACCCTGGGTTGAGCATGAACCTAGTTAACCTACCCCGATCCATTATACCATCGAAAATTATATGTATCCTCAAAAGATTAAAACATAAAGTATCCTTCAATTCGGGTTTGAATGCAAGCTAAAATCTAAAACACTAGTAATTTCGTCTCCGAATGTTAGTAATAACACTTGATGATTAAGTTCACAATCAGAAATATCATGTATTTTTCAAACAGTATTTTTAGAAGGAAGCTAATTATTGTTCCGCCATTACATTCGCCTAGCTTTATTTTCAAAAAAATTAAGACATGCCCGCTATTCTGCTAATTGTAATTTATGTATCCAAAAACTATTACAATGAGTTATTCGTTTATCTAAACAATAAGCAAACGAAATTTATAAAAAAAACATGACTAATGATAATGAAATTATGTACAAAGAATTATTATAGTTTTCATGCGTAAAATTTGGTTATCGCGAATTATAACCTCTTTTGAGATAATACGTAATTAATGCCTCAGTTTTTAAGACCAGGAATAACATCTTCCTTCAGCGTCACATTTACGGGCCGTTTCCGTACCCATTTCCATTTCCATCGGAAGTATTACCGTTTCCGTTTCCGTTGCCATTGCCATTGTTAACAATTCCCGGTTCCCCCTGTGATGAGCTAGATTTTCCATCAGTTTCTGAATTTCCTTTTGAAGAGCTAGATTTGCCATCAGCTCCTTTTGAGGAACTAGATTTGCCATCAGCTCCTTTTGAAGAGCTAGATGATCCTTCTTTGCTACATCCAGATTTTGTATCACCTTTCTCGCCAGATGTCTTGCTGCCTTTATTGCCGTCCTTCTGGCCTTCTGGATTTACTGTTGGCATATCTGGTATGTCTGGCATATCTGTTAATGGATCAAATGGATTAAAAGTACTTCCGTCGTCGGTATTGCCAATTCCATTGTTCTCGCCGTTGTGGGAACCTTTATTTCCTTTTCCGTTATTTGTTCCGTTCGTCTTTTTCGGGGAGCTGTCATCAACACCGTTTTCAGTGTTGCTATCGTTAGTGCCGCTTCCATGTCCGTCACCGATATTTCCATTGCCGTTGTTATTACCGATGCCTCGTCCTAAAATCAACGCTGATCGTTGTTCCAATGGAACGGGCGCGGCGGAAACTGAAGTTCCGAGGACAAGAAGCGCAGAGTAGATGATAGCTACAGAGTAGAAAAATTTTGCCATTTTTGTATGTTTTTACGAAAGTGTATTTGCAAAATACGATTTAATCGAGATACGTAAAAAGTGCAATATGGTTTTTTTTAAAAAAATTTTTTGCTTGACGAATCAATCGCAAGTTATAAAAAGACAAGGGACAAGGGATAAGGAAAATTTAAAAAGAAATTGGATGGATGGATCGAATCAATCGATGACAAAGATTAAAAGTTAGCAGAGACCATGTCATTTTATACTCTTCGTTCAATACGCGCGTATGTAGATCATTATTTCCTAGTTGGACTATATAACATGTAACATGTCATCGCCCCCGTTTTGGCCATCAAGATGATTGCACAATAATTATGCACACACCGATACGCCCCTTGATCGATTTGGTAATGGTTTATATTGTACATGTAATTGCAACGTACGTATTATCGTTATGCTTTTCTTTGTTTATCGTTATATTGTTGCATGTTGATTAAAAAATCATTGCATTGGTCAGAGATTATAACATGCTACAATTTAATTGTATATTGTCACAAAATATTGGAAAACAAGGGATTAGCTTTTTATCCTCCACCAATCGTACTTGCACGTAAAATTAGATTTTACCGTTACTGGAAAATTTTTGTACGTCACATTATCAAAGAATATTAACGAGATAATCCCTTTCTAGAAAAATGTGTTTTGGGACATTTATTTTTAATTATACGAGATGTATGCGGAGAAACTGTTTGTATACAACAATAGAAAAGTTGCCTAGAGCGTTTTTTCCGTTAGTAAAAGTTAAGAAAGTTTGTACATGTATAGCGTTGAAACATTTACTGTATCTTTTTTGTTTGCTTTTAGATCGGGTCGGGTGTGTTATTCCACATTTATGTTTAAAAAAATAGTTTATTTTAAATGTAAAAATTTTACAATCTTTTTTTTTGCGCTGACATTTACAATACTAAACGTCGATTCAACTAGCGAGAAATAGGTGGAGAAAATGCCAAATGACACGAGATTAGGGATAGGAATCGAGAATCGATTTTAAAGACAAAATTAATTAATAACGATAATGCATAAATCGTGTACGTTCATGAATACAAGCAATTGAAAAATCATGATTTTCACCTGTGAAAAACATGCAAATGATATAGCACACGACAAACTACGTACTCTCATTCAACAGAAATGTTAATATTGATAATAACCAAGAAACCATTGTCAATATAAAGTTTAATAACTGGTGGTGAAGCCAAAAATAACTGATATTGCTCAGAAGCTCAATCTGATGACAATTTTATACCACATAGTATCTCTACGAATTCAACTAATCAATTATAATTAAAGCACAACTTCAACTATTCCAACGAAGAGGGAAAAACAAAACCAAAGACCAGTTATGACATCGCCGTCATCGTCGTTATTGTTGTCGCCGTCATTGTCGTTATTGTTGTCGTCGTCATCATCGTCGTCGTACTTAATTACACATGAACGAAATCGATTAAATAGCTGTTTGGTATATACGTATATCGATATAGAACAGATACATGTATATACAGTGGCTCACACATGTAACCGAACACGAAAATTAACTTTCTAGCATTTTTATTTCCATGACTATTAGTT